TGAAGCTGGGAGCCAGGAGTTTCTTCTGAGTCTCCCATGTGGGTGACTTGGGCCGTCCTCCTCTGCTTTCCCAGGTTACCAGCAGGGAGCTGTGCTGGAAGTGGAGCACTGGGGACTTGAACCAGTGGCCAGATTTGCAAAGGGAGATTAATCTTTCTTGAATCTGTCTCCTTCTCTCATCTTCCCTGCTGTCACTGAAAGAAACCTATCCCCAGGCCTGCAGTAATCACCTCAGAACCTCTGACCTGCTGCCCCACTCTCACACGACGCTCTTCCGTGTTTCCCACGTGGCAGCCAGATGGGCACCAGTCTATAACACTCTGCAATAAGATCCTGTTGTGTTGGGTCCAGCGTGATGGCTTAGTGCTGGATCCTCGCCTTGCACACATTGGGACCCCCATGTGGGCACTAGTTCATGTCCTAGCTGCTCCACTTCTCATCCAGCTCCCTGCTTGTGGCCTGGGCAAGCAGTAGAAGACAACCCAAAGCCTTGGAACCCTGCACCTGTGTGGGAGACCCGAAAGAAGCTCCTGGCTCCTGGCTTCGGATCTGCTTAGCTTTGGTCGTTGTGGCCACTTTGGAAGTGAATCAGTGGATGAAAGAGTTTTCTCTTTGTCCCTCCTTCTCTCTGTAAATCTGCCTGTCTAATAAAGATAAATATATCTTTAAGGAAAAAAAAGACCCAGTTATGTTGTCTCATTTTCTTAAAGGGAAAGGCTGAGTTTGCTTTTAAAGTCATTCATTCATTTAATGTTTTTGAAAGGCAGAATGAGACAAAGAAAGAGACGGAGGGAGAGAGAAAGAGAAAAAAAAAAAGGAGGAGAATCTTCTATTTGTGGGATCATTTCCCAAATCTGCCCACAGCACACTGGACTGGGCCAGGTCAAAGTCAGGTGTCAGGAACTCCATCTGGGTCTCCCCGGGGATGACAGGAGTCCACATGATTGAGCCATGATCTGTGCCTCCCCTGGTGCACATGAGCAAGAAACTGGACCAGATGAGGAGGTGGACTGATCCTGGGCGCACTGATAGGGGGTGTAGGTGTCTCAAGCAGCTGCTCAAACCACTGGAACACAATGGCAACTCCAAAGGCTGCATTTCCTAAAACAACTCCAAGGCTCTGGTTCATCTGACGCCTGCGCAGTACCATGGGTGGGTTTGGGGTCACTCCACATCATGCTCCATTTCCAGCACAGTGGGCTCCTCTTGGGTTCTCAAGTACAAATGTTGCATCTCCACAAGACTGGTACACACACCGCCTCGTGAGCACCAGGCCGCTCTCCTCACTTCCTGGATGGCTCAAGATCTTTCCTCAGGGAGGCCTTTCCTTATCTGCAGCCCCTCCTCAAAGGCACCACACACATGTGAAAGATTTTATTTTGTTTCAGCTTTGTCTTTTTTCACTCCCCAGTGCACAGGAGGTGCCCAGTGGACACTAGTGGAAAGGGGTAGAGCTGTGACATCCTTGCTTTCTGTGAGTCAGCAGTTCGAATGCTGAGTGAGAGCTTGGAACGCCAGGGTGTGTTGAGTGTGTTCCATGGTAATGTACTCATGTTGTGAGGGATGTTCTACACGATGTGACTCATCATTGAGTCACCTTGGGCACCTGCACTACGGAAGCACTCACCCTCGGGGCAGCTCACCTGCCTCCCTCACTCTTAGTCCTGGCTTGTGTGGGAAGCTTTGGCCAAGAACCATAGGAAGAAAATAGAAAACAAGAAGATGAAAGAGAGAAAAAGAAAACCAGGATGGTGCTGGGGGAGATATGTGACAGGCTAACCCCTGGCTGTGTTCTTGACCACTGGAGCACTGTCGCGTTGCTGCTAAGCGCCTTGAGAGCTGGAGGTGGGGAGGTCCTAGGAGGCAGCTCCATGGGGTGGGGGAGAATCTGCACCCCCTCGGTCACCTCCCTGCCCCCCTGAACTGGGCCTCCTGCTGCTCTGTGTTGTCTCCACGCAAGGAAGGAGTCACTGGCTGCGTCAGAAACTGGGGAACCCTACCTCTTTTCTTTTGGGAAGCTCGAATAATATACGCAGAACACTCTGTTTTAAAATCAGCATCATCTCTTTTTTTTTTAAGATTTATTTTGTTTTTATTAGAAAGGCAGATATACAGAGAGGAGAGACAGAGAGGAAGATCTTCCGTCCGATGATTCACTCCCCAACTGAGCACAACGGCCGATACTATGCCGATCCGAAGCCAGGATCCAGGAACTTCTTCTGGGTCTCCCACACGGATGCAGGGTCCCAAAGCTTTGGGCCGTCCTCGACTGCTTTCCCAGGCCACAGACAGGGAGCTGGATGGAAGCGGGGCAGCCGGGATTAGAACCGGCGCCCATATGGGATCCCGGGTGTGCAAGGTGAGGACCTTAACCACCGTGCCACCTACTATCCCAACATCATCTCTTTTCATGTCAGTAACCATTGTGCCAACATTCTCCAACATGTTGTTCGCAAGTAGATCAAACATGATTCTGTTCTCTCAGCTTAATTGCCTGATAGTGTCTTTTCTACCTAATAAAAGATCAGCTGGTAGAGGGTGAAGCAAATATACAAATGGCATTTTACTTTATGGTTGAGAGTCATTCGTTTTTCTTATAAAGGTTAATTTATTTTTATTGTAAAGGCAGATTTACAGAGAGAAGAAGAAACAGAAGGTCTTCCATCTGCTGATTCACTCCTCAAGTGGCAGCCATGGCCAGAGCTGAGCTGACCTGAAGCCAGGAGCCTGCAGCTTCTTCTGGGTCTCCCACGCGGGTGCACAGTCCCAAGGCTTTGGGACATCCTCTACTGCTTGCCCAGGTCACAAGCAGGGAGCTGGATGAGAAGTGGAGCATCGGGACACAACTGGTGCCCACTTTGTAACTCTAAGTTTCAAGTTGAAAATATATAAATCTTAAAAAAGAAATAGGTGTTAGGCCCAGCATGATAGCCTAGTGGCTAAAGCTCTTGCCTTATACACACTGGGATCCCATTTCAGTGCCGGCTCGTGTCCCCGCAGCCGCGGTTCCCATCCAGCTCCCTGCTTATGGCCTAAGAACGCAGCCCAGGATGGCCCAAAGCCCTGGGACCCTATAACCATGTGGGAGACCCAAAGGAAGCTCCTGGCTCCTGGCTTTGGATTAACTCAACTCCAGCCATTGCAGCTCCTTGGGGAGTAAAACCAGCAGGTGGAAGATCTTCCTTTCTGTCTCTCCTCTTCTTTGTGTTTCTGCCTTTCCAATAAAAATAAATACGTATTTAAAACAAAGAAATAGACATTCTGAATTTATTTTCACCATTCATTTTGTTGGATACTTAAGCTAATCTCAATATCACTAATATCTTCTTTCTCTTTTTTCAATCTTTCTAGCATTGTTACCGCCTTTTTTTATCAGAGAGAGAAAAAGAAGGAGGTTCCCATCTCTGTGTCATTCCCCAAATGCTTCCAATAACTGGGCCTGGGTTAGGATTGAAGCTGGGAGTCAGGAGACCAGTCCAGGTGCTTCCCATGGGTGGCAAGGGTCATTTCCTTGAACTGCCAGTGCTGCCTCTCAGGCTTTCCATTGGCAGGAAGCTGCAGTTGGGAGCTGGGCCAGGAGCAGGTGCTGCAGTGTGGGAACAGTCATCCCAACAGGCATGTTTCATGCTGCACCAAATGCCTGCCCCCACAGAGGTTTCCTCACACCTGTGTCCTTGCACAAGTGTCAGATTGTTCACTTAAGATTAACTGATAAGTGAGAAATGGCTGAGTTAACACCTGTCACGGTTTTCAGGGATATCCATATGTAATGCCAAACTGCAATGTAAAACTATGGACCAGTTACTTCTCCCCCCAGCAGCAGAGGGCTGCGCCAGGCTTCCCCATGCCCTCACAGCCAGAGTACTCTGCTGTCATGTACTTTACAGTACCTGATTGACAAAGTCAAATAACACGAAGCCCCTGCAGGGAAGTGAGAAAGAATGAGAAGACAAAGAACAGAGTCAGCATTTAACAGCTGAGGCAGCAGCTACCTGTGGCTCTGAATTCACCGAACCTGGTCATGATGTCATGATTAGCCTAGCACGAGTATGGTAAAAGGCTTCCTAGAAGAGGCTTGTTCATTTTTAAAAATAACCTTTTATTTCAAATCCATTTTTGCAAAAATTATAAATGTTCTCAGTTATTGGTTTTTTTTTCACTTATTGGAAAGGCAGAAGCAGATAAGCAAAGATCTCCTAACTGTTGCTTCGCTTCACAAATGTCGCAACAGCAGAGGCTCTGTGAGGCCGAAGGCAGATGTGTGCAACTCAATCCAGTTATCCCAAGGGGGAGGCAGGGACCCTTCCACCCGAGCCATAACCCGCTGCTTCCCAGAGTGCATGTTAGCAGAAAGCTGGGATGAGGTGAAGAAGTGGGACTTGAGGCTGGGTCCTGCAGTACGATGTGGATGTCCCCAGCATCACCTGTACGGCTGTGCTAAACGGCAGCCCGTGGAAGAGGTGAAATTTCAGGCAAGCCTTGGGGACCTGTCAAGGGATAACTCAATAAAGAACGGGGAGAAGAGGGATGGAGAGAATGGTTTAGGTAGAAGACAGATCTCAGGCAAGAATGTTTGTTATCTCAGGGAGCGATGAAAAGTTCTGTAATGGCTGGGCTAAATGGGGCCTTAGAAGCTGAGCACAGTGGACAGGAAGGACTTAGGCACAAGGGAGCCTTGAAGAGATGAGCCAGGGCTAATCAAGAAAGGCTCTTGGGCTGAACTGAAGCAACTACAGTTTGTCTGGAAAGTCAGAGAGAGATCATTAAGCTGAGCATGCAGGAGCTGGCATCAAACCTGTAAGACTCGCATCGATCCAAAGGCGCAGACCAATATCAAAAATCAACGATTTTTTGATCATTGCCAATGAACTTGGAAACAGCCACTCAACCTCTATATGTGGTGCAAGTAGGGGCTACTGTAGGTCCCCTCCAGTTCTCAATATCTATTCTCCTTTGAGCTTCCCTGACATATTGTTTGTTTGTTTTTTCATTCCTTCCAGAAAAGGTGGCCATTAAAATCCTAGACAAGACCAAGTTAGACCAGAAAACGCAAAGGCTGTTATCCCGCGAAATCTCCAGCATGGAAAAACTGCACCATCCCAACATCATCCGCCTTTACGAAGTCGTGGAGACTCTGTCCAAGCTCCACTTGGTGATGGAGTACGCAGGGGGCGGGGAGCTCTTTGGAAAGATCAACACGGAAGGGAAGCTCTCGGAGCCTGAAAGCAAACTCATCTTCTCCCAGATTGTATCTGCGGTGAAGCACATGGTGAGCTGGGGCAGGCAGGCAGAGCCTCGCCTGGGGGGCCCTGGGGAGCCCTGGGGAGCATGGGCCCTGCTTCTCCGCTCCCTTAGCCACTCCAGAGGACCCCAAGCCTCTTGGCGCATGATGCAGCCCCTGCTGCATCAGAAGCCTCCTCGGGACTGCGCCCTCTGAAGTCACATGCAGGCCTTAATCCTTTTTCCAACTTCCTCCTCCATGGCTCAGAGAGTCAGTGCCTTTCTGCTCCTTGGCGTTGGGTTTTTTACTCTGCCTAGGACTCCCTCGCCCAGCCTGACTCACCCCCGCCCCAAACCCAAACCTAACCTCACTTTTGGGCCAACTCTGTTGTTTCTCTTTGGAACTTTCTGAACTTTTCTGGAACTTTGGAAAGATCTGCCCACACTCATCTTTCCTACCTCAAGTAAGCTCCCCTAGCTCTTTCTCTCTCTCTCTCTCTCTCTCTCTCTCTCTCTCAGCATTATACAAAAGAGAATTTTATTTTGTTTTTTTGCAAAAATGATCTCTAACTTGTGGCAAGTTTATTCATTTGAGAGAGAGAGAGAATGAGCATGCACTACCTTCTATCTGCAGGGTCACTCCCCAAAAGGCAGTAACCGCCAGGGCTGGGCCAGGCTGAATCCAAGAACCCTGCCATTTTCCCCAGCTCTCTGGTCTCTGAAAATGTGATGGGCCCACATTTTATGGAGTCTGTTTATTTACCAGGCATATGCTGAGCATTATCAGCCCCACATCATCTTCGTTTCTCACATCTGCCTTACGGGTTGTCATCTGTACCCCATTTCACAAGGAAGGAAACTGACATGCAGGTTGCACAGCAGATACAGTTGAATCTAGAACTGACACCGCCTGTCAGATCACAAAGGCTGAATTTTCACCTCAAGGGGCCCACTGGGAAGAGTAGCATTAAAGCGTTTCCCAAGAGCCCTTGGGACCGAACAGGTCAAGGATCTTCATGAGATTGCTTGGATCCAGAGAGCCAGGTTGGGAGTGGGACACGTAGTCACAGCCCTCGGTGGCACCTGTTGCTGGAACCTTGCCAAGTGCAGCCCCTTTCTTTGTTGCGTGGTTGGGGAGGGACTCTAAGACTCTTGCTTTCAGCTCCTGTTAGACAATCCGTCAGTCTGAAAACCAAGTAGGGCCTTCAAAACTAAAGACTACACTTTCGTTGTATTTCAAAATGAGGAGTTTCATAAGATCTGATCGTCTTTATGGCACTAATGCCTGAGTCTGCATGTCTTACTCTCACCACACACAAGACCAGAATCTTCATTTGGGGAATGTGGGCATGACATGAACCCTACAGCAGGGTTTGCTAACATGATTTAAGTTGATCTCCATTCTAGATTTTGCCCTTACACCATTACTATGACAACATTTGTCGTTTCAAAACAACTCATGTGTTTTTGTTTTGCAACTGACTTTTCTCCACATCTTCACCCACAGCATGAAAACCAAATTATTCATCGAGATCTGAAAGCAGAAAATGTATTCTACACCAGTAACACCTGTGTGAAGGTAGGCGACTTTGGGTTCAGCACAGTAAGTAAGAAAGGAGAAATGCTCAACACTTTCTGTGGCTCTCCCCCCTACGCCGCACCTGAACTCTTCCGAGATGAACACTACGTTGGTGTGTATGTGGATATCTGGGCCCTGGGGGTACTCCTGTACTTCATGGTGACTGGCACCATGCCATTTCGAGCAGAGACCGTGGCCAAGTTGAAAAAGAGCATCCTTGAGGGTGCATACAGCGTGCCTCCACATGTGTCAGAACCCTGCCACCGCCTCATCCGAGGCGTCCTTCAGCCCATACCCACGGAGAGGTATGGCATCAACTACATCATGAACAACGAGTGGCTGCAAGGGGTGCCGTACCCCACCCCTTTGGAACCTTTCCAACTGGATCCCAAGCATTTGTCAGAAACAAGCACTCTCAAGGAAGAAGAAAACGAAGTCAAGAGCACGTTAGAACATTTGGGTATTACCGAAGAACATATTCGAAATAATCAAGGAAGAGATGCTCGGAGCTCCATCACAGGGGTCTATAGAATCATCTTACATAGGGTCCAAAGGAAAAAGGCTTCAGAAAACGGCCCGGTGATGATGTTCCCAGACCCCAAAGAAAGAGACCTAAAGAAAGGATCTCGTATTTATAGAGGCATAAGACACACATCCAAATTTTGTTCAATTTTATAAATTGCATCTGATTGCTGGTAATAAACCAAGACCACTGTTGCTGCTTTTTAATTTTTTCAAGGGTAGAGACATTTTTGTAATTTTTAAATAAACTTCAATTTGAAATATGCACTTTCTATTAGCTCAAATTCCATTCTGATGTGTTGGGCTTTTTGTTATTCTCAAACTTTAGCACTCATTCGTGCAATCAAGAAGTGTCTAGTCAAGGAGTGCTGTGTGCCAGGAGTGACTCTTCAGAAATGCCAAGACATTCCATGACGCTAGGAGTTTGAGATTGGGTTTCCCCACCGCTCCCCAGTACAGGCTAAGACAGATGCTTCCATATGAAGTAGTTTACTGGGGAAGTGACCCCTAGGCAGAGATATGAGAGACAAAGGAAATAGGGAAAGGCAGTACAAAGGCAAGTTATCAAGTTGGCCGGTGCCACTGTAACTGGTGTTTGGACCTGCAGGATCTGTTAAAAAAAAACCTTGTGAAACACATCTCAAGTGTCTGCCCAGGGTGTGAGAGGGGAAAACGTTTATCCACCTACTCCTCTTCACTGTTGGTCAAGAGTAGCTCATGGCTCCGTCTTTATTTCCAAATTATGCTGTGTTGATGCTGCATGAGTTCCTGTGTTTCCCGCGCCTTCATGCCCGAGTTGTATTGGGGCAAGATGGAAAAGGTTAACAGCATTGACCTGAGGCAAGACAATCAACAGGACATGCACAGGCTTTTCCAAACTTGCATGGAAGTGATCACTGCCCCATTGTCTAGAGGAAATAGTGTGGTTGGAGAGACCTGAGGTGGGCTCCAGGGCCATTCATTCTATATAGCCCATGACACCCTGGCTCTACTCAAAGCCACCCTCCATTGAGTGCATTCATTCTGAGAGTGGGACCTGGAAGGGCTTCATGCAACTGAGTCTAGGAGCTGCAGGAATAACTCTAAAGCTCAAAAGCATCAGAATCACCTGGAGGATCATATTAGCTTTTCATTGCCAAAATTCCTGCCACAGTGAAGGAACAGTTTATTTCAGTTTATGGCTTTGGAGATTCACAGTCCAAGGTCAGGCAACCCAATTGCTGTGGGTCGTGGATGGTGAAGCATCACATGGCAAACCAGGAAACCCATCTCTCAATACCTCTAATGATATAGGGCCTCCTAAACATCACAGCTGGACCAAGTATCCCAGCTGCCAGTACCATTAACTTGTGATTTTGGAGGTGAAGCATCTTCATATGTTGGGGAACCAAATTATTTTCACAATCTAGCAAAGGCCTTTAAAACCAAACTAAGGCACCCAGACACACCCATAGTTTTGTATTGAGTACACTGGGGGTAGGACTCAATAATCTACATTACTAACAAGTTCCGAGGTAATACAATGCTTTCAGGGGTCACACTTGGAGACCACCGAATTCCAGGCATTATTGTAGCTGGTCCTGAGGTTTGAATAGGACCCGGTCTTTCTTCCTTCATTACCTATTCTCAATTTCCCCTGCCTTTGGCCAGCATCTCGACTAGTCTGGATTGGATGATGTACCCAGACCTGTCCTATCAGCATCTGAGTCCTTAGTGATCAGACTATAATTCCATCTTCACCTGTATCTAGAGGTCCAAAGTTAACAGATCAATGACTCCTTCAGGTTTCATACATATTATGCTTTTTTTAGTTTCTTACAATAATCAGAGTCAGTAATCCCGATCAGCATAAAACATGTGTTTTTTCTCTGACAGCTTGCCCTTTGTCTCAGGAGCCCAAGGGACCTCTACTTCTCTAGGATCCAGACTCCCTAGTCTAGCTAGGCCTGGGCTGTAGGTAAGCGTAGTACAAATTCTTGAAGAGAGTCAATATCAAGATGTTGAGAGGTCAGTCCTGTTTCTACCTATTGGTTTCTAGACCTGTTATTTTAACGATAGGGGACATGTATCAGCCATGATTTTTAAAAAAAATTATTTGCTTGAAAAGCAAGGGGTTATATGTGTGAGAGAGAGGAGGGAGAGGAAAGAGAAAATGAGGTCTCCCATCCATCTAATGGTTCACTTGGTTCATCCCCCTTGATTCCTGCAACAGCCAGAACACTGGGTCAGGATGAAATCAGGAACCGGGAATTTTATCTTGTCTCCCACAGGGATCGCAGGGACTTGACCTATCATCTTTTCCTCCCAAGGTGCACATTAACAAGAAACTGGATCAAAAATGGAGGTGGGGGGCCCAGCGCGGTGGTGCACTGGTTAAGGTCCTCACCTTGCACACCCGGGATCCCATATGGGTGCCGGTTCTATCCCGGCAGCCCCGCTTCCCTTCCAGCTCCCTGCCTGTGGTCCGGGAAAGCAGTCGAGGATGGCCCAAGGCTTTGGGACCCTGCACCCGCGTGGGAGACCCTGAAGAGGCTCCTGCCTTCGGATTGGCATAGTATCGGCCGTTGTGCTCAGTTGGGGAGTGAATCATCGGACGGAAGATCTTCCTCTCTGTCTCTCCTCTCTGTATATCCGCCTTTCCAATTAAAAAAAAAATAAAAACAAATCTTTAAAAAAAAAAATGGAGGTGGGATTCAATCCTAGGAACTCGGATATGGGATGCAGCTGTCACAAGAAGCAGCTTAACATGTTGTACCACAACTCCTGCCTCTACATCAGCCATTGTTAAATACATACAGCAATAAGTCTACAGGCTAACCTGAGCCATTCCATTGTTCTGTTAATGCCACCTGAATCTGCTGCATACAGTAAGGTGAGGATATTCTGCAAGCACGTTGTTCTACCTCCTTTAGGAGTAGTCCTTGAAGCAGTGTGATTGGAGACACCAATGAGTCGGGTATTTGCTATGTTTTAGCATCATAGTATTGGAGACAGGAAGGGTAAAATGTATCCTGAGTAGATTCAGTTCCAATAAGGATGAGTCATTGCTATGCCCATCTGCTTCTATGACTCTATGGATCTGGTAAGGCATGGCAATTCCATATACCTGATCCCTCCAGATTCCATAATCCAGTGCTTAGGTTCTAGGTTCCAGTTGCTCATCAGGAGAATGAGCGGGTCTCTTGCAGATAACACAGCCTTACTCCAGGATCCTACAGGGCTGTGCTGTAACCTTCTACTGAAGCCGGCCTACAATCACACTGGATTCTTAAATGCATGTACATAGCCTGGGTATCACATCAGTTGACATTGCAGCTTGAAACTCCCGTGGTATTTCTTTTGTGGGGTCCTCTTCAAAGTGGCGTCTCTGAGGAGTGGTTTGGAGGAATCTGCTAAGTACAGAGTATGTACTTCCAAAACTGACTCTTCTGTTTCTTTTTATTTGTTTGTTTAAGATTTGTTTATTTTTATTACAAAGTCAGATATACAGAGAGGAGGAGAGACAGAGAGGAAGATCTTCTGTCTGATGATTTACTCCCCAAGTGACCACAATGGCCGGTGCTGCGCCGATCCAAAGCCGGGAACCAGGAACCTCTTCCGGGTCTCCCATGCGGGTGCAGGGTCCCAAGGCCGTCCTCAACTGCTTTCCCAGGCCTCAAGCACGGAGCTGGATGGGAAGTGAAGCTACTGGGATTAGATCGGTGCCCATATGGGATCCCGGTGCGTTCAAGGCAAGGACTTTAGCCGCTAGGCCATGCCGCTGGGCCCAGACTCTTATGTTTCTTAGTATGAAGATGGAGAGGGTGAAAGAAGTTGTCCTTTCCTGAAGGAACATTCAGACATACCTCAGCTCATTGGCTCTCTAAACACTTCATCAATGAGGCATGCCAGGATGTTCCGAGTTTATCGTCTACACTCTGGTGCACATGTCCTAGCAGGAAGTCAGAATCTGGAGTGGAACCAGGACTCAAACCCAGGCCACCCTAATGGGACGTGGACGTCCCAAGCAGTATCTTAATAACTAGTCCAAATTCCTGTTCTTTAACTGCTTTTGGTCTTGATTTCTGATGGAAATTGAGAATGCATTTGTCTAATCAATAGCCACATACCAGGTGCCAGATGCTTCTATAGATACACATCGGGCATGGCAGCCACACCGGAGATCGCAGTAGCCATCATCATTCTTATTTGACTTTTTTTTCCTTTCAGGAGATGGTAAGTTGAGATTAAGATGTATTCTATCTCTTAAAATTTTACATCCCTCAAGATTTTTCACATTGGGGGTGCCTAGCCTAGCGAGAATACCTGGGGTTGATACTCAGCTCTTCCCTCCAGTTCCACCTTCCTGTTAACACAGGTCCTGGAAAGCAGCAGGGAGTTCCCCGGGTGCCTGCCACTCAGAGGCACACAGATCTAGACTGAGTTCCTGCGTCCCAGGGTTAGTCTGGCCTATTGCCAGCTGTTGTGGCCATCAGGACAGTGAGCCAGCGATGGGAGTACACTGTCTCTTAAAAAAAGACTCTTCCTGGTGACGCTGACAGCTGAGGTTCTGCATGCGAGTGCTACAGTTCATCAACACGGCCAGTGGTAAGCTTCCATGTGGCACTTCCCCACCAGATAGGGAGTCTAAATACATTTACCACAGATATGTGCGTGAAACTGGAGGAATAATTGCAAGGTGGAACGTATTATCAGATGACTTTGGCCATCACCTAGTTCCTATGAGCCCAACTACACATAAAGCCGTAACAACACCTAACAGCCCCGCTTCCCATCCAGCTCCCTGCTTGTGGCCTGGGTAAGCAGTTAGAGGATGGCCTAAAGCCTTGGAACCCTGCACATGGGTGGGAATCCTGGAAGGGACTCCTGGATCCAGATTGGTTCAGCTCTCTGGCCACTGTGGGCCACTTGGGAAGTGAATCAGCAGATGAACAGATCTTCCTCTCTGTCGACCAGACTTTCCAATTAAAAAAAAAAAAGCACCCCCCCCCTTTCCCCGGCATTCACTGTGCCTGGAATTGACAGTTGGCTATCAGTTAGCCAAAACCACAATGTGCACATTCACCCCATGGTGAGATGAACCAGGGATCTGGTGGAACCATGCTGGCGTTTGGCTGCTGCCTCGGTGTAGTAGTTAGGACCCTCTACACTCCTGCCTGCTGTGGATGGCAGTAGGCAGTTCTCCATTTGCTTTTCTTTAATTGCCAAACCTTAGGATTTTAAGGAAAACACAGTAACTTACCACATACATATTTTATAACATACTC